TTCAAAGAAGGGGTTTTGGGCTGTGACAGATAAGGCAGAGAGTTCAGAATCAGCTTCTTTGGCTGGGTTGAGACAGGGTAATAGTTTGCAAATGGTCTCTTTGGCCAGTTCCGGATGAGACAATAGTTCGTAAACGGCCTCCATAGCCATGACAGAACGGACAGAGAGTTCACAGACGACCTCCTTGGCCGGAACAGAACAGGCAGAGAGTTCACAGGCGGCCTCCTTAGCCATGATATGACGGATAGAGAGTTCACAGGCGGCCTCCTTGGCTGGAACGGAACAGACAGAGAGTTCACAGACGGCCTCCATAGCCGTGACAGGACGGGCAGAGAGTTCACAGACGGCCTCCTTGGCCGGAACAGAACAGGCAGAGAGTTCACAGGCGGCCTCCTTAGCCATGATATGACGGATAGAGAGTTCACAGGCGGCCTCCTTAGCCATGATATGACGGATAGAGAGTTCACAGGCGGCCTCCTTAGCCATGATATGACGGATAGAGAGTTCACAGGCGGCCTCCTTAGCCATGATATGACGGATAGAGAGTTCACAGGCGGCCTCCTTGGCTGGAACGGAACAGACAGAGAGTTCACAGACGGCCTCCATAGCCGTGACAGGACGGGCAGAGAGTTCATAAGTGGGTACCACTGACACCTCTGGAGGGTCTGCAGCGGATGCCGCCACCTCTGGAAGTTCTACAGCAGGGCCATCAGGAAACAGGGAGAGTTCATTAACGGTTTCCTCGACTATGACATGACAGGCTGCGAGTGCCTTGCTGGGCGCCACCACCGTACAAGGAGTTGAAGCGAGTGCCGCCGCCTCACGAGGTTCTGCACCACACGCCGCCACTTCTGGAGAAGCTGCAGCAGGCGCCATCGCCTCTGGGGAAACAGCAGCAAACTCCACTACCTTGGGAGGTTCTGCAGCATCAGCCGCCACCTCTGGAAACATCATAGTAGGCGCCGCTGTTTCAAGAGTCTCGGTGGTGGTGTATGCAGCCCATACACTCCATAAAGCGATCCCCATTATGGGAAGCGCTACAGACGGGGGAATAGATTCAGGAACAGGAGGGCTAAAGTGAGTGGGTTTGGGAATACCGGCTGCGCGTGCAGTCACCAATGGTGGGTCCTCCACGCTGGATGCCAGTCTGGGATACCGATGAACAGTCCCTGAGGGTCTGGGTGCCACAGACAGGAAATGATAGGACTCTGAGTGAACAGACGTGATGTGACGTGATTCTGGATGATCAGCTGTGATGTGACCTAATTCATGAAGATCAACTGTGACTTGATGTGACTCAGAAAGAGTAGATGTGACTTGACTTAACTCATGAGGATCAACAGTGACTTGACTTGACTTATGACGAACAGCCGTGACTTGACTTGCCTCATGAAGATCAATTGTGACCTGACTTGCCTCATGAAGATCTGCTGTGAGTTGACTTGACTCAGGGGAATCAACTGTGACTTGACTCGACTCATGACGATCAACTGTGACTTGACTTGACTCATGAAGATCTGTTGTGACTTGACTTGATTCATGAAGATCTGTTGTGACTTGACTTGACTCGTGACGGTCAACTGTGACTTGACTTGCCTCATGAAGATCAGCTGTGGTTAGACTTGACTCATGACGATCAACTGTGACTTGACTTGACTCAGGAAGATCAATTGTGACTTGACTCGACTCAGGAAGATCAATTGTGACACAGTGAACGCCGAACCAACCGTCAACAAAGCATAATCCATACACTGACTGAAAGATGAACACGGACCCTCGTGAACGAGTTTGGACTTTAGCGGTTTATTAATGCCCTCACAGAAAAAGTCTATCAAAACACAGTCCGGCAGATCTGAATAATGAGCGATGGCTAAATATTCTTGAATATAGCCCTCCAGTGATCGTGTGCCCTTGTCTAAGGGCTAACAATATTCTTGCTGTATCCATACCTGTCCAATGTCCATCCGAGAAGCCGCTGGATCCTTGTGCGGCCGAGTATTCTGCTACGGGGCTGACGAGACGTGAGACGTGCGGACCCAAGTGCAAAGCTTTATTATTAGACATAGTAAGAGACAGGCAAGGGTCAGATAATGGCAACAGGTATATAGATGGCAAGACACAAGAATATATCCTAGGGCTAGCGTGGGTCTACGATCGGCGAACAGGATCAACAGGGCGAGACTAGAGGGATAAGTCCAGGTACAAGGCAAGGTCCAGGCAGGGGCAAACAGTATCAGAATAGAGCAAGACGAGAGGGGGAATCCGAGATACACAGGCGAAGATAAGTACACAAGGAAACAGACAAGGCAAGACTAAGTTAAGGCTAGACTAAGGTAAGGCTATGAAAACTAATGGGCTCCGTAGAGTTGCTATCGCAGGTGAGTGATATATGCTATACAATACTCGGCAGCTTGACGGGGATCAGAGTGAGTGTTATATAGGGAAGGTGTGATTGATGACAGGAGGTAGACATATACAATACCGGACCAAGAACTCAGAACCGAGAACACTTTAAATACACCAGACATGACGAGAAACACCTGGAACTAATGAAACATAATAACATGAGGGAAAACACAGCTGAAAACAAATGGGAAACAATCAGGGAGCAGGAACAGGAAAACCAAATAAGGGCATGGAAACACATGGGGAGCAGAACACACACAAAACACTGAGTCTGACAGTAATATGCAGTTTTTTTAAAGCTTTTTGAAACAATATGCATTGGGAAAAATATACAAATAAACTTGAATTGAAAAACTAAACTGAATTTTCTTAAGTCTGAAACACAAAACACACAAGCCAACTCAATACACATCATGGCAAGTTATAAAAAGATCAACTATTATTTTATTACATTTCATATTATAAATAATTATTGGCTGAAATGTTGCAGGGATTCTTTTTCATAATGTACTTTAAACATCATTAAAAAATAATGTCAGAAAGATATCAATAGATGGTTTTGTTTCATCGGACGTACGTGCCTGGCTCGAAGTTAACTTTTGGTCTGTGTTTGTTTATCGGTCTGGCTAGTGGCTAGTAATATGGCACAGACTGTTAAGGTGATGAGTAGACTGAACTTGGGCTCAGGTTGTTGTGCTGTGGGATGCAGCCCAGTGTTTCCCATACATTGATTTATTTCTGGCAACCTGCCACAATATCAAAACTGACCGTCACAAATATATTTTCCAAAAGGCTTTGACTTCGTTGAATAAACATGAGCACTGCACAGTTCAAAATCAAAAATGAGGCGCGGGTGTTTTTATATCACTGAAGGAAATCGACTGTCTTCAGAAAATGTTCTATGTCATTTTCATTTCATCTTGTCTGTGCCTGATAAAGCAGCGTTTGTGAGTGCAGCGCTGGTTTGTGTACAGTCTTATGATCAGGGAAACCTCTATTTCTGTATCACCGCTGTGCGAAGAGAGGCTTGGCAGCCAGGCAAGACAGTTTTAACTTGCTAGCTAATGTAATTTACTTATTTATGCTTGTTATCAGAAATAATCCACTCTAGAGGGACTCTGTTGTTATTGATTCTTTGCAGAAGAAAAAATTTGAGTATGTATAGTACAGCCTCATGAGGAATAACAGAAAATGTTATAATGTTTGCTCTTCTGAAAAAAGCCTTGATGATGTATGCAACTGACAAATGTGACCTCTGGAGAGCGCAGTCTTCAAAATGAGACAGTGATTGAGTCATCAGCGTGCCAATGGGTAGTTAGCCTGGGTCTTTATTAGTGCTAGAATTTGTGTACACAATATACTACAATGAGGGTTACGTGAAAATACTTTTTTGCTGTTAAAAAACACCTTAGCACAACTGAAGGTGTCAAAATAAACAGAAAACACATCATCATGAAGCCAATTATGAAAACCAATCCAGAAACAGCTGTATCATCATTAGAACCCATGCAGCCGCTTTGTGGAAACTGCACAGAATTAGTCAGCGACTGCTTTTGAATCACTCTTGTGGTACGCTGGGTCTGGTGACATTGCATCAGCACCATCTTAAGTCAGACAAAATTTCGAACTGCATTCACTATTTCTAGTCATATACACTAATTGGTCTGTGCTGCATAGCATGAAGACAAACACACCTAATGTCTACAGTGTGCCTGCTCTAATACACTGATAACGTCTTTGAAGCGGCCCAAGCCATCGTTGCTAGTGTTATTTTTGAATTTGTAAAAGAGGATTGGGAGCATCTGTTATGACATTTGTTTGTGGTATATCAAAGGCAGTAACAGATACATCTATGCTGCCTTTAAAAATCGATCAGATGAAGGCATCTCAGGAGACAGCAAGTGAAGCAACAGTAACAATGAATTCTTATGTGCACTGATGCTTTCCTGCCTTTGAATGCGTCTTCCAAAGGCAGCATTTTTCAGCTTTCAGACGCAGCATTGTTGATTCACTAAATGATAAGCTGGTTTCCCACAAAAGCAGTTTATTCGGTGTGGTGAAGCCTCTCCTTCACTGATATCCATTCCATGTGTACTGCAGTGTTACACTTTTTTTCTTTCTTTCTTGGAGCCTTGCCTTAAAGTGGCTCTGGTAACACCTACTGATTGGCAGAAAGACTTAGTGGCAGTGGCATGGTGTGTTTACAACTTTATGCAAATGACGAGCAGAAAATGCCAGGTGGCAACAAATAGCTGTGAGTGATTAAAATGCACATTGTGCTGGGATTTAGTGTGTAAATCATATTGATTATGAATTGGAAACTTTGCAGTTGTTGCATGTAAGTTTTGCAGATTGGCCACACTGTTAATGTTCAGCTTGAATACTATACAAAAACACATCTAATATGGGATAGAACATGTACATTTGGCTGTACTAATAGATTTATATATGAAATTGGAACTAGCTTTTCACACTGTTAAAACCAACTACCTATAATTTATGCAGATAATTGTTTGTTTTGCTTCAGTTTTCCCAGTTTACTAAGGCAGCCATGTTGCAGGATGTTTTGCCACTCAGTCATTCCGACTGAGGGGATGTGTTCAAGCTGGGAAAGTGATGCCACTGCATACCCTCTAGCCATATCACATGACTGGGTCCTGTCCCAAATGGCACACTTCATGTGCATTCGTGGTCTTGGGAACCACAATGGCCACCGCATACACGTTGTCTGTTTAGTCCACGAGAATGTAGGGTATTCCATTAATCATTTTAGCTTTCAGAAGAATGCTTGCGAGCGCCCATATTGCGACCATTATGCGCCCTTTATGCCAAGAGGGTCTAGCTGCAGCCTTGCACTTGCACTCTCAGACTTGCATTCTCAGACACTTGCCCTTCCGCTAGCAACGTCACTTGCAGTCTTTCATTTTTTAATTTTGTTCTATTTATTGATTACTTTTTGTTTGAATCGCTCAACATTTTACAACAGTAGCCAGGTGGTGAAGACAAGAAAAAAGAAACTAAATTACAATGTCACTTGCAATCACCACTTGCACTCTCCGCTACCTGCAATGTCACTTGCAGTCGACACAAATGGTGTGTGTTGCCAATGGAGACAAGACGCTGTGGTGATTAAACGATTAAAACTAATTTAGTACTATAACATACAGGGTCCTGCAAGAGGACAAAAGACAAGACCTGCAAATCCGTGGCTACAGAACAGCAGAATATGAACGCAATGCACAAAGTCTCTCGTTAAGCATTTTCCTCCTGTTGAAAAACATAAACACTTAACATGGTGTAATGTATTAAGATACATTAAGTTCAATTAAAAGATCAAATTCGATATATAGTTATTATTTAATGTACTACAAGGCAAACAGATGGCTATGAACACAATGCGCAAACTTTCACTTGTCCTCCCATACAGCAAAA